GGGTTGAAACAACCCAGCATTTTTAAGAGTGATACATTTACATCAAACACACACTAGATCCTCTCTTGAATGTGCATATGAAGTATGTCCGGAAGCATCCCCTGCGGTTGTCCTGATGTCTGTGTGTGCTTTTTGAAGCACCAACATTCTGGTGCCCATTCACTTGCATTATATATGGATGCACAGATATATATTATTTAGCTTAAAAAAAAAAATAAAAAAAAAAGTCATATATATATATATATATATATATATATAGATAGATAGATAGATAGATAGATAGACAGATCACTGTAAGATCTTCTGAAAAGTGTAAACACTGACATACACTGGTTTTGTGGAAGGAATATTTGTTTGTCCAATCAATGGTTGATTGGGCAAAATGTTTGAGAAACTTGTTAAATAAAAAGCATTACTTTTTGCATTTTGATGGCACGAGCGGCATAAAAAACAATCACTATATATATTTAAATATATATATATATTTTTTATAAAGCCAAAATTGAAAGGCCTCGAAATTATCAACATAATTAAGACTTTGCTGAAAAGCCTGTTGTACGCAATCTTCTGCACGCTTTTTGACCACAGATTGATTGGTTGATTGATTTTTTTAGAATAATCATGATTATCAAACATAATACATCAGGTTTTTGAGGGATGTTTATTTGTTCATCTCTCAATCATATTGCATGTGTTTTGCTGCCCACAATAAAATCTACAGAGCTTTTATCATAAAACTAAACATTTAAATATCTTACTGGGAGATACAGAGTGACAATGACATTTCTAAGCATTTTATTATAAATAGTCTGTTATAAAGATCTCATTGATTTACAAGTTATCAGAATTTCATCTTAACTTTTTAGTCATATTAATATCAGCAACTGCTCCAAATTGCATATTTTTGCTCATTTTAGTCCTCTGAATATGCAAATGTGATTTATTTTTTTATATCTAGTTAGTCTAAAAGCTCAATAAACTGTTCCATTTCAAAAAATTTAATAGATTTCTTTCTGATAATTATTCATATGTCAGGCTTTACAGCCATAAAGGTCAATTTAAAAATCACATTTTGGACACTAAAATGGTCATAGGCAGAATAACATTACAAATACACTTCCCCAAAACACTTAATCTGACCAACATGCCTCCCACTGCGCCCCACCATATGCATTGCAGCTGGTAATGAATACATAAATAGATCTAATTGAGTGGTTTGCTGGAATTAAAGGACATCTGCTAAGCTAAGAGCCACAATCCTTCACACTCAGCATCTCCAGAGACCACCCCTACAACTGACGCAGTGTAAACAACCCCTGACCTTTCACCCCATGCACCCCCGCCTCCTGGACGCGTGCCCCACACGTGCCCCTTATCCCCTCCTCATCATCACTGTCTCCAGCATATGGTGCGTTTCATGTCACACGCATGTCCGTGTTAATGGGTCATTACCCAGAGGGACATGTGCAGCGCCATCTGGTTCAATCAAGTGGCCAGACGCCCCACCGGGCATCTAATTGGCTCAATGAAGATTAGATCTGATAGCAGAAAGGGGCCATATGAAATGCTGATATGTATTCTAGATCACATTGTGCGTGTTCATCACAGAGGTAAATGTTATGGCTCTGGAGAATTAATGGAGCTCTTCTTTATTCAAGTAACAAATTTGTCTCAAATGTGTTGCAAAGATTTCTCATAAAAAAATAGGATGCAAATGAGACAGTTGTTGACATACAAATTAGCACAGATCGGATAATGGATTTCTAAGTTAAGTGTCTCAGATGTTTCTCCTTAAATTCCTTAGGATTACTTCAAGTCAAGTCAAGTCAAGTCACCATTATTTAGATAGCGTTTTTTACCTTTTTTTTGTTTGCAAAACAACTTTGTGTCAAAGTAAATCTTCAAATAGACAGAAACAAGACATTTTTGTCATCATTTAGCCTCATGTTGTTACACTAAAAATAAAATGGTAAAGGATTTACTTTGAAACAATTTTTACTCTGAAATTGCTAGTTTATTTCACAAATAATTACAAAGAAATGACAAGTAACAGTGAATGAAATGTAATTTTTTTAAAGTAAAAAGCCTGAAATAGTCTTTTCTTGTAATACATACTCCCACTCTTTTATTTGCAACTTAAGTAGATTGTAGAAACTTTTGGCACCAGTGGTCTCTATCGTCTTCTTACAGTATAGGCTTATGATGTTTTTGAGAAACTTGAGTATGACTTTCTTTCTTGCATGGAACACAGAGGTTTAGTAGAATGTCCTAGCTGCTATTTTCCAAATAATATAAATATACAGGGACCAGGAATGTATTTGGTCACCATTCACTTTTAAAGGGAAAACAGCAGCTTGGACATTTTTCTAGATAACTCCTTTTGTGTTCCATGGAAGAAAGAAAGTCATAAAGGTTTGATATAATGGGGTTGAGTACAGTATGACAGAATTTGGTAACACTTAAGTACAGGGACCAGTTCTCACTATTGACTAGTTTATTATTAACATATTGACTGTTTATTAGTACTTATAAAGCACATATTCTGCATGACCATATTCTACATCCCTAATCCTACCCAATACCAGCAAATAGCAGCAAATTAGGAGTTTGAGGCAAAAGTCGTAGTTAATGGTTTTCCAGAATCCATACTTAAGATGCACCAGCATACTGATAACTGTATGGATTCATACTTTGCACTGGAATTGGAGATACACTACCAGTCAAAAGTTTTTGAACAGTAAGATTTTTTATGTTTTTTTTTTAATAATTCTCTTCTGCTCACCAATTCTGCATTTATTTGATCCAAAGTACAGCAATACAGTAACATTTTGACATATTTTTACTATTCAAATAACTATTTAAATTTTAATATTTAAAATGTAATTTATTCCTGTGATCAAAGCTGTATTTTCAGCATCATGACTCCAGTCTTCAGTGTCACATCCTTCAAAATCATTCTAATATGCTGATTTGCTGCTCAATAAACCTTTTATTAATTATTATTATTATTATTATCAATATTTAAAACAGTTGAGTACATTTTTTTCAGGATTCTTTGATGATAAGTACAGGGACCAGTTCTCACTATTGACTAGTTTATTATTAACATATTGACTGTTTATTAGTACTTATAAAGCACATATTCTGCATGACCATATTCTACATCCCTAATCCTACCCAATACCAGCAAATAGCAGCAAATTAGGAGTTTGAGGCAAAAGTCGTAGTTAATGGTTTGTTAATGGCGAGAATCGGGACCTTAAAATAAAGTGTGACCCACAATTTTCATTTTTGTGTGAACCACTCTTATAAAAAAAAGGAAAACCAAATTTGTTATCCAATCAATCATTGTCGTCTAGAAGAAAAAAAAAATGCTATGTTAAAAATATATTCTTTCCCAAAGTATTCTGTCCTATGAGTCAAACTGCAGTTATTATAAGAGAACTCTGTGCTAGTAAATGGACAGTTCAAACACAATACTGCTAGGTCCCAGCCGTCAGACTTACATAACACAACAAAGAAAAGACTGAGCATTGTTTACCCAGCAGCCCAATAAATGCTGAACTGCAGTGCTAACAGGGCTGCCACACCTTGCATGGATTTGTGTTGTAATGTGGCAGGTGAGGGAGTGAAGCTAGCTTGATTCAGACTGAAGAGAGCTGGCTGTCCCGGAAACAACTGCTTTCTGTTTGGCAACCATACTATTGATGGTACCCACTGACTCCCATATTATGAAAAAAAAAAATACTGTGGAAGTAAATTGGGACCATTAACTGTTTGGTTACCCACATTCTTCAAATTTTCTTTTATGTTCCACAGAAGAAAGACACGCATGCAAGTTTGGAACATTTCGAGGCTGAATAAATTAAACTTTCTTTATTGGCTGAACTATCCCTATATAACAGTTATTTTAAATAGTACAAATATTTCAAAATTGTACTGTTTTTGCTGTACTTTGGATCAAATAAATGCAGGCTTGGTGAGCAGAAGAGACTTCTTTAAGAAAGATTAAAAATATTACCGTACATGACCATGAAACAGAATCTGAGGTTTACCTCCTCGTTGGGTGCCATGGCTCTGTTGGGGTGCTGGTCTGCGGTATCGCTACCCAGGGTTTTGTAGTAATCCCCAGTGCTGGGCTGCTTGCTGAAGCTACGGGACTTTCGATTAGAGTCGACTCTTCGAAGCCTTTCGTGGCCCTCGCCAGGATTCAGCTGCTGGAGAAATGAGCAGCACATGTTTATAGTAATAGAAACAACATAAACATGCTTGAGTTTACCAATCAGCCATTTAAAAACTTTTATTGATCAACCACTTCATCTCATCTGCAGCCCTCATCAGTGGTATTAGCTGTAAAACCCAACGAGAAATTGCCTTAAAACATTTAAGCTTAAAAAACAATATTTATGAGTGCTGTGAATTTATTTCAGGAGTCCACTAACAGTAGTTTTTTTTTTTTAATTAATTTACGCTATGAACTGTACTCACATACTTTGTGTAACTAAAATTTGAACTGAAATTGAACTGAACTAAGCAAAAACATCATTAAAATTAGAGACATCAAATTAACTTGCAGTGGGTGTTGCAGTTCATCAGTCCAAAAGAAGTGAAATAAAGCACATCCATAATAAAAAGTGCCTCACACGGCTCCGGGGGTGAACAAAGGCCTCCTGTAGCGAATCGATGCGTATTTGTAAGAAAAGTAACCATATTTCTTCTTCTTCTTCTTAATGTTTAATGGTGGTTGGCATCCAGTGTATATATATATATATATATATATATATAACCATATATAAATATATAACCATATTTAAAGTGTAATAATCAATTTAATCTAGCTTGTGCTCACAGCTGTACACGGAAGCAGCTCTGGGCGGATGACGTAGGACATTGGCGTTGCGCAACGGTCACGAATTACAAGTACAAAACGAAGATTTGTAAAGAAGAATGTCAGAGAATTTCGATATAAGCCAAGAGGAGACTGGTTTTCCTTTGCTAAAGTAAGGAAACTTTGCTTCCTTTGATCCTGTAAACAAACGTTGGTTTTCACGAGGCTCACCGGCGCATACGCAACGCTGACCTCATACGTCATCAGCCCGGAACTGCTTCCGTGTACAACTGTTGACATTAAAGAGATTATTACGTTTTGAATATGGATATTTTTTTTACAAAAACGCATCGATTCGCTACAGGACGCCTTTGTTCACCCCCCGGAGCCATGTGAGACACTTTGTATTATGGATGGATGCACTTTATTTCACTTCTTTTGGACTGATGAACTGCAACACCCGCTGAGTGCCATTAAACAGCTTGAAAGATCAAAGACCATTTTTAATATAACTCCGATTGGATTCATCTGAAAGAAGGAAGTCAAATACGCCTAGGATCACTTGAGGGTGAGTAAATAATGGGCTAATTTTCATTTTTGGGTGAAAAAATCCCTTTAATATAACTAGCAAAAAGATTATCACTACATTGGTATGTGTACAGTTATTGTGTTTTAAAGCAGCATGCAGCATAAATAAAGTCATGTTTTTGGCCCATCTTTGACCTAACCACAGACTCTAATCTTCAGTGCAATGATAACCTTCAAAACTTTAACACAGCAGAAGCAACTTTAAATCCTGACAAAAATTATCACTTACACTCACACATTTTTATTTATATAATTATTGTGTAAAAACACATTTCATAACACTCCATTTTAACATTTACTCTCCTTATTAGGGTTGCAAAAAGGTGGACAATTTCCAGCAAATTTCGTAAACATTCCAGAAATTTTGGAAACTTTCAAGGATTTTTTGGAATATTCCAGGGATTTTTGGAAGTTTCTGAAAATTTACCGGAAATTTTCCACCCCTTTGCAACCCTACTCCTTATACAGTCTAAAGCAAAGCATGATGGGAACTAGGTAAACTGTTTTAATAATTTAATTTATTATTATTATTATTATTTTACAGTGGGCATGGTGGAATAGGTAAATAAAAAACTATGGTTCTTTTTCAGTATTTTATTAGCGTAGAAAAACAGAAATATATTAAACATTTTATTGAATATATTAAATACATGAAAATATACTAGAACATGGGTAGGTGACAAATAATGTCTATGAACTGTTTTACCAACATCACAATTTTAGCTTTAAATTCTTATATATGTCAGGGAGTGTATATTTTAGACATCTAATGACTATTGTACACCATCAATTTGTAGCAAATACATTATGTAGTCTCTCAAATATGTGCTTATAAAAATAAAACAAAAAACTATGAATTGTTATAATACAGGAAATGTTTAACATAGTTCTAGATGAATTATAGCATGTCACACTGAGGAAACTACTGTCACTGAAATGTCACATATTTGAATACTGTACTCCTGCCCACACACACACGCCATAAAAAAGAGGTTATATTGACTTTTTATGAGACGGGCATTAGAAATGTCAGTGTGAAATTTGTAATATAATTTGTCAGACAAAATTCTCCTTCACTGTTTGAAAATGGAACAAACCACTGCTATTTTTTAAACACAATTCTAGTACAAGAGGAAATCTGAATTTTCATCCCATATTGCTTCAGGCAATCCTGACACATTAAGCCACATAAACTCTTAATAATTCCTATTGTGTTCATGTGGCAAAACCTAACGTGACTCCAGCTGATTTGCCTGAAAACAAAAAGACTTTTCATGGCACAAAAGCTGAACTTAACATAGATTTCTAAGCTTCACAGAGGCAAATAACACAGCAGGCTACAAGAGAGACCGGCGGACCCCTTGAATGCTGTTTCAGTGTCAATGCACCGAATGGTTTCACTTTCTGCAGCCGTCACTCACTTGTGTATGATATCGAATCTTCATCACTGATCTAAAACCAGTTTTATCCACCTGCCTTTAGGAGTACGGAAACGTCATTACAGCAATCACGGATGCGGTTTCGAGAGTTTCTAGAAATTTCCAACACAAAAAAGGTAATGCTTGGTTTTCCTGTTCTTAAGATTTTCCTAATGCAAAGTCCTTGAATTTGCATAGTAATCAACCTTATGCAATGCAATTCTAAAACAAATAAAGTCGCAGGATAGTGAAGCAAAGCAACGAATGTGAGCTGTTAATAAGCTGTTTAATGTGATAATGTCATTTAAAAAAAAAAAAATGAAGGTACCTTTCGTATAATAATAAATAACAAAACAATCCATTTTGGTCAAACAAAAGCAATATTGATTTCTATATTGATATTGATCTCTATCTGAAAGCAAATACACCCAATAAAAAAAACAACCATGACAAAGAATTTGAATTCTGTCATCTGTGGCTTTTTATTTCTCACGCCGGCCCTGAGGATGGTATTATCCATTCATGTCCTTCCAGCATCCAATTTGCATTGTTGTCTAAAGCACTGTCCTCCCTGCAGAGTTACTCCCAGTGTAACTCGAGTCAGCCCAGTGCAGATGGTTTGATTATCATACCTCAGGGAAATCGCTGCTTGTAAGGCTAGCTGACCTCTATACAATGTGGATGGACCTGAGCCTATTTCAAACCTGCTGAATTTTTCATCACCAGTCACCAATACGTATTCTTCAGGCTTCTACATCGTGCAGCGACTCATCTAAAGATCTAAAGCATGTTCAGTAACGTTAGCTGAAGCTCACTTGAGTGAAGAACATGAATGCAGTGCTGTTCATGCATTTGAATGTTTATCTGATTCTGCATGCAATGCATTTGAAAGGTTTTCTAGGTTATCACAGTAGACAAGCAACCCGAGGCTACTGATCTTATGTAACTCAACACAAATAATAAACACACAGCCGTTGCATAGACAATTATATAATTACACACAAAGCTGAAGTATCCCAAGTCAACCAAACCAGCACAGTTTTAACTCCTACCGCCATTACTACTTCATCACAAAATAACACTGAATTGCAGTCTTACCCTTTCCGACTGCCCTTATTTCTTCCCACAGTGCTGTCACCCTACGCAAAGCTTTAAACCGAGAGCTGATAGATGCTCAGGTGTCACTAGATCTCCATTCTGCTGTGCCTCATTCTACCTGACGCTCGCTTTGCCTTTCCCCGCCCCTCAGCCTCCCACCAAACAATCACATCCCAGAGCGATGACTTCACTGCTCACCTGTTATCCAACCACAGGTCACAGCGCTCGTGGTCTCTTATGCAAAGCATTGTGACACAGTGGCCAAGCATGGCCGCTCCGGCTCGGCTTTCTCACCGGTCGAAGGATTGCATTATGCACACCGGCCACCAAAGAGAATCTGATTACAAATAAACGCGTTCAAAGGTAGCTGATTTATGGAAATAGCAAGCGGCAGTGGGTGATAAGACTGCAGCAGAGCCGTGTGGATTCAAAATGAAACGCAATGTGACTCTGCTGTTAAAGTGTATCAGAGTTATGTCAAATGAAGAACATTACATTTAAACCCAAGAGAGAATCCAGGTGGACTTGTATAGCATTCCAGTGTATGTGGAGCGAATCATAGCCTAATATGGGCCTGAGTTAGTATATGGTGTGGTATTCAAATACATTAGAGCTCTAGAAACAAACTAACCTTAAGTGAGCTGAACTAGACTAAACACAACCCAGAAATGTGCCAGTATGCGGCTGCTATGCATACTTATGTTATCATGGTACTCAAGGAAGAGGATGTTTTTCCTTGAGCACAGTGTTTCTTCCAATGTTCTGCCCTCTAAATAATGATACAGTCAATATTTGAGGGAGAATAAACAGCCTATATTATATTTCTCTCTGCATATATGAGTTTTACGCCTCTTCATGTAACATGAGCATAACAGATCTTTGTATTTCATTATATTTTTTTGTATCTATGTTGATGACAGCACAGATCATCTGATGAGAAAAATGTTCAAAGTGAAATATTTGGCATCTTGGAAAATTGTGTGACATTGTTGAGATCTCTTATAAGACTAAAGATGCTAAACACTCTCTTTGCTCTGCATTTAATCCTATTGTGGTCTCAAATGAGATAAAGAAATCTCTAAATTTATTAAAAAGAAGAAAAAAAAATTCAAACTGTGATGTGCTTGCACCACCTGAAAAGAAAGCACATATAATCTGTTAAACTAGTGTTTGATTGACAGCTCTAAATCCCTCCTCACGTTCAGCCCCTCCCAACAGCATCACAGCTGCTCTGCAGCCTAAAGTCTTTGACCATAAAAGGAAAAGCAGACTGCATATGGTTTGAGACGACAGATTCTAGTAGTTTTCTTCATGACTTATTGAAGTATTTATTTTCATTAGAAGTTGTATGTATTTCAGCTCATTAAAGTTCATTATGGACTGGATTAAGTCAGTATAGGTCATATAATATCACTATATAATGCACTTATACACTGTAAAAAAAATAAATAAAAGCTACTATATATTTTTCAGTTTACAGGACTTTTGAGTAACAGAAAGACACATGTAGACTATATGTATAAATTTGTACTTGCCATGATGAATTATAGGCCGAATCAAGTATTTTGCATTTAGTGAATGGACAAATTCAAACTGGCAAAACAAAGTAGTGTTACTTACAATTATGAAGACAGTAGTTGAAAGATCTTTCAGAAAAATCTGCATTATGTTGCCTTGATGTTTTTAACCTTTCAACAATATCTATTTAACATTGCATTAAAATGGAGGTTCAAGGCATTTCAAAGGGTTTAGCAGAAATACAGGTTGTAAATTATGTTTAGAGTCTATATGTTCATAAATATTAATATTTTAACATTTATTCCAGTGTATTGTCCATAGACTGGTGCACAGTAGTGCATGACTGTAAACGCCACCTTTTTTCTACAGGTATTGAGATCTGAGGGATATATTTGTATTTGCATCTGTGCCATTATGATAATGATCATCTGCTAAAAAGTGGGGGATTTTCTGAAGTTATGAAGGCTGCCACATCCTTAGGTTATGCTAAACTTATGGGGCCAGACTCAACATTGTTCTGCGTCTTAGTGGAAGAGATACTGTCTGAGAGAAGACAGTGGGTCATTTTGGGGGTCAGAGGTCATGGACAGGGTCTAGCTGAAGGTTTCATTACGCCTTGAATAAAGTAATAATGAATGACAAAACTTTACCTGCACTGCTTAAGTGCTTCAAATTGGAGAGCTGAATTCATCATAAAATGTGTGGTGAAGCAAGCCAATGAAAATGAATCAAAATTACATTCAGACGCGTCAAGATACTTTTGGGGGCCTCTGAATACTTATATTAATTGCATACTAAGTGAAGTGTTAAATTCTGCTGTGTTTCTCATCAGTTAGTCCAGCAACCATCCAAACAAGTTTTGATGGGAAGATCTGAGCTACTACTTCAAATACTTAACATGCAAACATAGAAGACGAAAAGTGCATTATCTGCTCTTCATACTCCAACAATAGTACTGCAACACAGCTGAACTCCCTGTAATGATCAGAAAATGTGTGTGTTGGGATGTGCTGGCAGCTTCTGACAGTTTAATTAGTTCAATTAATGTCAAGTCCATCATGCAGCACATCATTAGAGCTTTTGGGAGGTAATGCTAATGGAAGCCCTCATTAACGAGAACACAAAAGTAGCATTGTGTTTTTGTCTATATGAGTGTGTGAATCCATTCCGTGTGTGTGCACCTGCTCTGGGCTTTGATTAGCGAGCACAGGGCTGTTTTTTAACGCACAGATTGAGGTTTGTTGGCCAGACAACAGAAGATACATTGCTAGTCTGATTCTTTCTAATGGCCACTGTGCACCACTGTGTGTTATTTATGAGAAACCGCTGTGATTAAGTTCATGTACGATTAATTAGACCATATTGTGCTGCTTTACTGTCAAAGCTAACCGAGGTGTTATTTTACACCTACATATGTATTCCATGCCAATTAAAAAAGGATGAGCTGACGGTAAGTGTGTGTTAATTAGACGTTTCAGTGTTAAATCCACAGGGAATGTTTTGCTATTATAGGCCTATACACAGAATGACTAAAGCTCTATGGATTATTTAGTTACACAGGGATGCAAGCTGGTCTTTGTAATGAAGTGAGCTGTATAATCATCATATCATATTGCCTGAATGCACTTATTTGAACTTTTTAAGACGTTCAGTCATTAACATCACAATGGTGGTTGAAATTTCCCAAAATATTCTGAAATCTAACTAAAGATTTTAATACCTAGTCATTTTAAAGACAACTTGAAATGGCATTCACAAACCAGTTTACTTCTTCTGTATTGCGATGTATTTTACAGAATGCATTGTGAAAGCTAAAAAATAAAAAATAAATAAAATAAGGTTACACTTTAGTTTGGGGACCAGTTCTCACTTTTTCCTTAATAAACTCCTAATTTGCTGCATATTAATAGTTAGTAAATTAGTTGTTAAGTTTATGCATGGGGTAGGATTAGGGATGAAGAATAAAGCATTAATATGTGCTTTATAAGTACTAATAAACAGCCAATATGCTAGTAATATGCATGCTAATTGGTCTCTAAAGTGTTACCAAAAATAAATAAATAATTAACGATGAAGGATAAGTCAAAACTAGATTATAAAATATACATTTCATGATACAAGTCGTTTCAAAGCAGCTTTATAGAAAATGATGCTAATTTTTATAATATCTTCATACCTTATAGTCTAATTTAGCAGATCAGAGCTGGATGATAATATATCTTACATGTTGCAATGATAAAATCAATCAAGCACGCCCTACGTGAGCACAGTCTACCGTATACATGCAGATACTCACACAGGGCAGTATATTTAAGACAAAGCAAGTACTCTACCTCAATCAGTTCTGTGAGTTATGTCTCTTGTGCACTTCACATGAGTAGTGCTATTTTGCGTGCCATGCAGAGTTGCCTATGAGCATTTTAAATCAATCTCCGTTTCAGCTGGACTGTCTTTGTGTTGTGGTAGAAGAAGTCATTTGCAGTTCTGTTCTGATCGTGAGCCTGACATGCATGAGAGACAATACGATGCACGAATCCTGGATTATAGATTGATGCACTCTTGTTCACTATTGTACAGCATTTCCTGTAAAGGCTTTTAGGCTTTTATTCTATACTGTCCATTAGTACAATATGATTCCTTTATATTCTGTGAATAAACATTGTGTTTCAGGTCTTTAGTCGTCATGGCTTCGTATCTGTTTGGTCAACAGCAACACATCAGATGATGACTCACTAGAGGCCCCGTGCACTGCATTTATGGTGCTCAGAACTCAGCACTAAACAAAATAAACTATGATCTTTTTAAAGGGGTCATGTTCAGATCTTTATATATGTTTCTAGAGGTTAGTTTATAAAGGCTTTTTGCATCAAAAAGTTCAAATATTTGTAAAAATGATCATTTTCCATTCTTTCCATCATCTCTCTCACAAACACAAGTAAGCACCAATGCTGTGAATGAAGTTCATTGCACCGTATCTGCGCTCTCCTCCACAGCAAGAGATGGCCAGCGATGTAATAGTGGTGTATGTTTAAACCACACAAAAGAAAATGAACCAATGCAACCACAACTGTCTATAATCTGTATAAATATAATATTATTACTATAACATATATACCTAATACTGCTACATTATAAAACTTACAGCTATATGATAAACTATATGATATCATGTTAAGTACAATTAAGAAAAGAGTGTGTTGCAAAATGATACAAACAAAAACATTTTTGTTAAATCACTCAGGCAAAAAAATAAAAAATATAATAATAATAATAATAATTAAAAAAAAAGATAAACTTCAGCCATGCATTTCTAATAGATTAATCTTTTCGAAGGGTATGCACAGTTTTTGGAGGCTCAGTCTGTCTACATCCAGGGACAGAACAACGTCAGACTTTCTTATTCCACATCTTGCTTTAGTGATTGATTGACAGACATGGGTTATTAAAAGCACACTGCCTTGATTTACATACGCATGTTAAGGGGAGTGTAGAGGACAAACGTGACATCATGAATGGGGTGATTTCAAATTCTGGCATTTCAGAAGTGTGGACAACAAAAACATCGTATTTTAAACTGGAATCAGGGATAATATCTTTCATTGAATCTACAGTAAGTAGATCCACTTCAGGTAATTACTCTTCAGCAGTGATCTTACAGATCTACCACAAAAACCGAAGTTCAAAGACGAAAATAATAAATTCTGCACACTTGTTTCTCTGACACATAAGGTCTATAGACAACATTAATAATTTTTAAATTTGTCAATATTGGATGAGAATTGTCCAATACTGTATATTTTATTGTGAACTTTTGTTTTCTGCCTGTACAAGGTATTGTGAATGTAACAATAGCAGAGCTGTGTGTTCATTAAAAAAAGGGAAGGAGACCACAAACAGAAAAAGAGAGCTATCATAACATTCAAAATTGGAAAGTCCCGGTTCTTTAGTTATAAGTGCCAAACGCCTTTTTGAGTCTAAAATGTATTTGTTGATCTTTTTATAAGTACACTTGCATAAAGATGCCCTCAGAGTTAACAGATATGAACTTGAGTCACAAACTACAATTTTGATTTCATTTCTACAGCAGTCACAGATTTCAGGAATGAGCCGTTGGGAACTGGGGAGGGGATTCTAAAAGTACATTTTTATACTTTAGTAAGCGGAATAGAACACTGAACTCTTATATTTTTATAAGATGAAAGAAAATGCAGGATATTACAACTTTATGACTGATTTTAGTTTTTTTTAAGAAAATATATAGCATACCTCGTTTTTGACTACATCATTGTCGACTCGGCGAAGGTTCCTCTTCACCTTTAGGTACTCGGCAGACTCCTCCTCCTCCGGTGGTTTGGGTG